CACTGCTCATACGAGGGAGGGGAATCACTCACGGCATCTACTATAACATACCAGGAGCCGTCAGGCTTCCTGGCCTTCTCTGGCTGTAGTCTCGGCTACAAGCCACACACCGCATCCACCCCCAGGATGCACTAGCTCTGGGATTGGCAATTTTATTCTGTTGGGGGTAATCGCCAACCCTCAGGGTTTCTGTCTGCAGTCGCTCCAACACTCGGCCTTCACAGCCACCCATGCGACTCGCAGACCCCTGCACTCAGGCCAACCCACTGCACAGGCACATGGGTCGGGGATCCAAACTCTGCATTCGGCTTGGGCTCCACCCCAAGCCACGTTCCCCACTCGCCCCCCAAGGACAGGTTCCTCAGCTCCTCACCCTCAAGAATGAGCAGGGCATCACCCACAGGTGATTTTATGAGACTCACAGGTCTTCAGCATACTAAGGCTGCTTAACAGCCACTCAGGGCTTCTCAACTTAGCATCAGCACCAGCTTTTGCTTTCTTAGTTGGCTTTTCTCCTCCACCTGGCTGCTGGGCATAACAGGCTGCTTTTGGCCATCTAGGCCCACTGGCCACCCCCAGATTCTCAAAAAAAACATAACCTGCCAAGGTCCTCCGCCTTCTGGCAGGATTGTCAGTCCAGGTTTATCAGTCCATGTCCATTGGCCTCTCCCTGCGTCAGCAGCGGCCTGCTGCCTCAGGGATCATTGGCTGGTCCTTTCCAGTATCGTTGCCTGGTCCTTTCCGGTGTCGTTGCCTGGTCCTTTCCGGTGTCGTTGGCTGGTCCTTTCCGGTGTCGTTGGCTGGTCCTTTCCGGTGTCGTTGGCTGGTCCTTTCCGGTGTCGTTGGCTGGTCCTCTCGGGCATCTCCTCCATGCGAGGTCTCGTCCCACAGCTCCGGACCGAATCCACCTTCTGTGCCGCCATGGCGCCTCCAGCGTCATCACAGGCAAACAGTCTGTTCTTCTTAGTGCCTCCAGGTCTTCGGAGGGCTCCAATACCCGTCTGCATGGATCTTGCCGACTTACGCCAATTGTAAGGGCCGGACTGGGCACAGGTGCAGGTTCTCTGATCCCATGCAGACCGGGTAAAGGAGGAGTCAGAGTCCTCAGTGGTTTTGCAGGTCTTTTATTGGGGTTCACCAGGCATATGGCAGGCAGGGGTGCTGGCTGGGGGGCTGGGAGGCTGGCAGGCCTCCCAGCCCCCAGCAAGTCTTTACTCTATCTGGGCTATCTGGTGTTCTCTGCTTCTGCGTCGGCTTCTCCTTCAGGTTCTGCTGCTGCTGGCTGGGGCTGCTGGCATCACCCCGTGACGCCGCCCTTAAAAGCACAGTCTTAGCTCAGCTGAATCCCATCTACCTATGCCCACACCCTATTCCAGGTGCCCGCCATCAGGCATGCATTCAGGACAAGGATCCATCATCTATCCTGATGGCGGAAGGGCAGAAAAGCCTGATATTTTCTTTACCCTACACAGTCCTAGCCCTAGCCCCTCTCAAATTCAATGTAAACTCATAGATTATTTGTGTATCTTCCATTATTCCCGTTATTCATATTGATGCCTAAATTGTTACCAACTTTGCCGCATCTCTGAATTGTTAGATGTGAATTGTATTTTCAGCATTTCTTAACTCAGGTGTTACTCTTTTGGGGAGTGGCATTACTTGTTTCCCATTACCCCTAGATTCTTGCTCCCTCTTACCAGTTTGTCCTGTTGGTGATTTAAGTGTGAGTATTTGGGGAAGTTCTCCTACTTACCAGTTTATCATGTTGGTGATGTAGGTGTGAGTATTTGGGGAAGGCAGGGTGGGACAGACTTCTCCCAGTGAAGCTATCATTCCTTTCAGGAGTTATCTGTTGAGTGATCCTTTAGATTGCATCAGTGTTCTGTTTCCCATTAAGTTTTCACCTGAAAGTTAAGATCAACTGATCCTTTATGGTTATTACATTGGCAGCGGCCACCTGACTCTTTCCCAGCATATGTTCTGAAGCTTGATCTGCATTTGGTGTTTCTTTCCCGTCTTACATGTAACCAAGTTTGCGGTATTCTTTTTTCTTAGTTATGCTTTAGATGCAGGATGTAGGTATTTTCTTTGCTCTATTTGTTGAGCTCTGATTTTTTGGAGGATGTATGGTGTGGTTAGAATTTAGGTGGTTACAGTTATTCTATAGGAAACTGGAATGCCTTAATTTTTACTATTTTTATGACTAAAATGTGAATGCCTGATTTTGTGAAGTTTTCATTTAAACCCCTTGACTCCTGGTAATAAATAAGGATACTTGGGTAAGTCTCTAGTATTTTTTGAAGTATGTTAAACCATTTTTACTGTTCTCACTAGCTTTGAGCTAGCGAGCCAAATATAGTTTGAAAAAGAAACTCAAGTGTACTCTTTGAGTTCTTGGGTTCTTTGCTTTTCTATAGCCTCTTTCCACTTGCAGCCCAATATCAATCATCGCTCCATCCATACCCCTTAACAGTGTTAAGAGCAAAGGTGTCTTTTGAATCAGATTGCTTAGGTTCCAATCATAGTCCTGGTCCTGCTGCTTATAGGCTGTGTAAGTAGTTACTTAACCTCTTTGCACTAACATTTCTCACCTACAAATGAATATAATAGTATTTTTTCCATAGATTTTTGTGATGATTAAACATGATAGGTGTAGAACAGGAACTTGATCTTGATAAATCATTGCTGTTACAGTTAATATGAGTGTATGGATATTTACTCTATACAAAGAAAACTGTCAGCTGTTAAATAAAGGAGGCCATAAGCTGTTTAAGATAATAAATTAGTGATCTATCACCAATCCCAAGTCCTTCCATCCCCCACCACCATGAAACTAAAATAAACTTTAATGATAATTTGTTAAACCTTTAAACTTTCCATTGAGAAAACAAATTGTATTTTGTAATCTATTCACTATTTAGAGGTATTATTTAAAATGAACAATTATAGTTAAATGCCTGAATGATGTCAATTTCAAAGTCTCTTTAAAACAATTTTTTTTGGGTACTCTGTAGAGACTTGCAGCTTGCATTGGGAATTGTATGGTTGTAAAATCATGTGTCCACTAGAGGTCACTTTATACTCATTATTTCAATATTTTACAGTAAATTACTCAACTATTTTCTTGCTAGTATCAGTGAAACTTATTTCAAAGACTGACAGAGGAAAAAGCCCATTATTGCCTCCTGCAAAAATATAGTTTGAAAAAGAAATAAACCTGAGCTGGACTATTACAGGAACCATCATTATGTGTCCTTGTTTTGTATTTGCAGATTATTACTCTGTTGGTTAGAAAATTGATTTGTATTATTAAAATTAACAAGGAAATTTTCATCCCTGTTAGAAATAGAGATACTTCTTACTCCCAGCCACAGGCTAATTTGTATTTCTTGAAGCTATTTCTGAATGATTACATGTAGTTATAGAGTCATCTATGAATATTTTTCTGATATATTTATTTTTACTAATTGATTTGGAGTACTACCTACTCAAAAAGTGACCTACACAGTTACCTAAATTCTTTGGACTTGGAATTTCCAAATATGTAAAATATGAATAATAACTATAACAGTGTCTTCGTGAATACCAATGTTTATGTGAAACTTTATGCAAGGGCACAATCTATGCAAATGCTGCAATAGGTTATCAGATAACTGCTGTTGTGTTTGACCCACAAAGGCACATTAGGGGTAGAATATAGGAATCTCCAAATTTCTGTCTTCTCTTATCTGACAGAATGGATTATTATTATTAGCTTATATTTACTTTTCTGATATAACCATTGTGGCTAATAGTGAATATTTTTTAAATGAATTACCTTTCACTTTACTGTCGTAAATGTTTTAAAAAATTGACTATAACTGTGTGGAAAATTCACGTATGTGGAATTCATTCTATTGCGGTACTTGATGTTACTATTTTTATATAGTCGCAATCTTAGTGTGGAACTGCTATATGGTTAAAGAAAAAGTGGTACTGATTCCTGGAAGTGTCACATTTTTGCAGATCTAATGGGTTTAATTGAATTTGGTCATTACTATCATCTGCTTTTACAGATAATTTTGGTCCTGATGTGGCTAGTAAGTATCTGAGTTGAAATGATAGATACCAAGAGATGGGCCACATAATTATAGTATTCGGTGGTGGAGCTGGTTCTTAAAATGTTTTTGTTATGTATTAGCCTCAAATTACATAGGTAATTTTACTATTGTGCTTACAGCCATGCAGAGAAGTCCTGACAGGCAATTTCAGCATTTAAAGTGCAAACAGTTTCTAAACTTTGGTATGCAGAAATGATGGTGAGCATAAGTAGAAAACAGATGGCTCAAACAGGAAGCAAGTGTATAAAAAAAGTGATAACCTCTTTTTCACTGTCAACATTTGGTTTTCACAGCATCCCCTCCCACCTTCCTGTTCCCTTTATTACTGCTGGTGGCCCTAGCACTCAGTGCAGGTCTGCCTGACCCAGGTCTGTCTGTAGTCACAAGCCTGTAGTTACACATTTTATATTTACCACAGGCTGCTTTTCAAACCTTTTGTATTATACCATACTATGTATTTTCTGCACTTAAAATGTTTTCTGCTGGGTGCATACTATATAGATTTCTCTCTCATTTTATGAATTTTATTTATCAGAACCCCCACTAAATGTCTGTCTTGAATGGAAACCATCATATTAGGTCTTTGGATCTGTTAGTTTCCAACTGTGAGTCTCTGTTCTGCCATTTATTCTGTGATTTGGGGCAGGTCCCTCAGTCTCTGAGTTGTTTCATTTCTGTCCAAAGAGACAGTCAATTCAGTACACAATTGTTGTGATGTTGTGGCACAGTGGTAGTGCCTCTGACTCCAGATCAGAACCTTGCATGTTCTGTATACAGTTGTTGAATGAAAAATATATTTCATATCTTGCCTACTAATTTTAGAAATGCGGCTGTGGGTTTTTTCCTTGTTTTGTTTTTTGAAGAGATGACCATTTGAAATTTTTTTTTTTCCTTTTGCAGATTACAGACAAAAGAGTGTCCAGAAGACATGCAATTCTTGAGGTGGTGGGTGGTCAGCTTAGAATTAAACCGGTAAATATGTTATTCATGCTTTAACATTTTGTCTCTCACTTTTTCCCAGTTCTTAGAGGGGCTTATTTTCTAAGATTATGGAAATAGGAATTAATGTCAGAATATATCCTTCTTGATATCTGCACCCCTATATTTTTTGCAGCACTATTTACAATAGGTAAGATATGGAAACAACCCAAATGTCCCCCCCCCCAAAAAAAATACACATACACACACATACAATGGAATATTTGTTTGTTCAGCAATATTTGTCAGCAATATTTGGTTGTTCAGCAATCAAAAAAGATAAACTCATGCCATTCACAGCAACATGGATGGAGCTGGAAGGGATTATGCTCAGTGAAATAAGCCAGAAAGAAAAGGGAAAATATTGGATAGTTTCACTTATAGGAGGAATGTAGGGGAACCAAATAAGGGATCAGGGAAAAAATAATTATAATAAGTTATAAAACAAAATTAAAGGCAACTATTAATCAGAGATATTGCAGGGGAGGGAGAGGGATCAAAACAGAGGAAGGAAGAACACAAGAGACTATGTTGATGGTGGATGGGTGAATTGGTGGTAGGAATTTTATGGGGACTACACCTGAGAGGAAAAAGCATGCGTTATTGATGTAAAACAGAAGAATGATGTAAAATATATTTAAAAAAATAATGTCAGAATATATCCTTATTGCCAGAAGATAATTGGGAGATAACTATTTAAATTATCTCATTTTCCACAAGGCAATTCTTACATAATTAGAATTTTAATGAAAGATGACTACCAGTTCATGTTTACATTATGATTGTGTTCATAACCGAATATTACAAATGAGATCCTATAAGAAAGTCTGTAACTATGTAATAGTTGTTTTTTTGAGGGGTGGGCAGTGACCAAAGTTATTTCAGTCTTATAAAGCTATATTTTACAGTTTTCTATACCTTGGTGTGTACAGTTGAATATTTCTAAAATTTGGACCTTGTTCAACTGTAAAGTTTTAAAAAATAATTTTAATTTGAGAGTCCTTGTTGAAGGCTAGAATTTGAATTGCTTCCGTTACAGTCTCAGCACTGATGTTTTATCAGGACAGCAGTTTTTGAGAATATATGTGATTATTCTATTTTATTTGCAGAACTTATTGGATAGGAGAATGAAATGTGTGTGTAAGGGTCCATTTATTTTGGACTAGATGTTGTGCTGATAAAATTATTCATTCTTATGTCTTATGTCTGAAAATTAAACTTCCACCTCAAATGATGCATAAAAATCCAATTCCAGGTAGATTAAATAGGAAAGTTAAAGAATAAAGCTATTAGAAGATAATATAAGAAAAAGTTATGATCTTAGAGTAGGAAATGGATTTTAAATAAAGTATGAAAAGTAGAAACTGTAAAAGAAAGAGTAAAAAAAGCCAATTACTTGAAATTAAAAACATTTTCTTAATCAAAAGACACTAAAATAAAAATGGAAAATATAATATAGAGAAGTTATTTAATATACATGTAATTGAAAAAGAAAGGAAATCCAAAATATATAGCAGATGTTTTCAATCAAATATTTTGCTATGATGGTCCCTTTTATCTGTATACATTCCCAAATTATGTTTGGCTATTAAATATTTTTTGGTTTTCTTTCAACTTGGAAATCCAAACATACTCTTAAATTAAAAATTGCCTTTGACAATGATAGATGAATGTAATTAGTGAAAATTTTAATTTGTACTCTTAATGGGATGAATTTCTGACTTTTTCTTTCTAATTCTCTTTAAAAAGCTTCCATCTCTTAGCAATTCTTGGAGATGTGCATGAAGAGATAATGTTAGCTCATGATGCGATGATGTTGGCTTTTTTGGTGCGTCATTTAAATTAATTTACAGTCTGGTATCAGCAGGGAGAAAATGCATTATCAAGGCAAACTATCCATGTTCTCAGTAAATGACTTTATCACCAGTGGTTGGTTGTGTCCTGAGGGTGAATTCAAAGCTTTTTATTTCATTTTAATAAAATATCTTTGGTTCTTGGATGATTGAGGGATTAGTTTTATAATTACATGTAAATTGCAAAAGATTCAATTATTATAAAAAATATATATCTTTGGGTGTTTATGTTTTTTTGATCACAAAATGAAATTCTTGATTTGTAAGTGCTTTTCTTCCCATGAAAGCTGAAATAGCTATAAGATACTACACTAGCTTTTCCACATCTCATTTTGTGGAAGGAAAAAAAAAAGAGTGCTTTCTACATTAGAAAAAAACTGAAAATAAGAGGAACATTTTTGGGGGCACATATCAATCTTTTTTCAATATTTAATAACTCCAAGAGAAAGATATAGAAAATTGATTTGTGTTTTAATGCATTCTTGCACCACTTCTAAAATTATAGCATAATCTATTTAAGCTAGCTTTTATAATCTCATGGATGTGTTAAAAGGCACACACCAATAATATACCTGTATTTAGGTAGCTTATATCTTTTGTTCACTGTGGATTTGAGTTTGTTGATATTTTGCCTACCCTTATCTATTTTTGGAATCAAAGTTAAACTAACCTCATATAAGGAATTCCAGAGCCTTCCATCTTTTTCTGATATTGGCAAGAGTTTGAATATTCAGAAAAATATTTCAATTTATTTTTAGGAGCGATTGGAAAGATTTTAAATTATTGATTGTATTTTTAAAATATTATTGGTCTCATTCAGTCTTCTTTCCATATTTAAATACTTTTGAACAAGCTTGGTACCTACAGGCATACACATACACACCACATAGACATAGATTTTTTTTTTTCAGTTTAAGATAGTTGTCTATTTTGGCAAATACATTTTATAATATTTATAATATTCTATTATTTATATTTTATAATATTTATTATCTATTATTTTTCAATATAATAGATGCATTTATAATCTATTATTTTTCAAAAGTTTTGTTTTATGTGCATTTATATAGCTGTTTTGTTCCAATTTTTTTGGTGTATAACTTCTCCTTTTTTGTTTATTAATATTGCTATCTTATTACCTAAAAAAGCTTCCTTTTGGACTTCATAAATATGCAGCTTTTTAGCTGGGCAATGTATAGCTTGTGATAGATTTTTTTAAAAAAATGTACTTAAAGAGTGAGAATGGCACATATTAAAAAAACTAGCAACAACAAATGTTGGCGAGGGTGTGGAGAAAAAAGAACTCTCCTGCACTGCTGGTGGGAGTGCAAACTGGTCCAACCACTATGGAGAGCTGTGTGGAGATTTTTGGACCTACTAAACATAGAGCTTCCATATGATCCAGCAATTTCACTCCTAGGTATTTACCCAAAGGACACAGAAACATCAATTCCAAAGAACACCTGCACCCCTATGTTTATAGCAGCACTGTTTACAATAGCTAAGCTTTAGAAACAGCCCAAATGCCCAAAAATAGATGACTGGATCAAGAAGATGTGGTACATATACACCATGGAATATTACTCAGCATTCAAAAAAGATAAACACATGCAATTTGCAGCAACATGGATGGCGCTGGAAGGGATCATGCTCAGCGAAATAAGCCAGAAAGAAAAAGAAAAATACCGGATGGTCTCACTCATAGTAGGAATCTAGAAAACTTAAATAAGGGACCAGGAAAATGAATAACTATAAGAAAGTGAAAATCAAAATCAACAAAAAACTATGAACCAGAGACACTTTTTGGGGGGTGGGTGGCGGGAGGGGAGGGATTGGGGTCAAAATGGGGGGGTTGCAATTGTATGGGGAATATAAAAATAAAATTTATTATATAAAAAAAAAGAGTAATACCTCTTTAGATGTAAATAATAGGATTTTGGGTTTGCTAAATGTCTAATCTTCAACCATCTAAAATTTCCATGTTAATTCCTTGCAGCTGAGGAAAAAAAATACCAAACTGAATGTTTCTTTAATTTTGAGTTTTTGTTGCCTTTTTAGAGATGTGATTAGTTTCCTGTAGTATTTTGCCTTTCCTACTCTTAGATTTTATGCTTTTATATTTAGCATCTTAACCTTTATGGATTTAGGACTAGGGCATTATTTAATGATGTTTAGGGAGTCATCTGAATCTTTAAAAGACTTGTATATAAGAGCATGGAATTGCCTTCATCTATAATAACTAAACCTCATTTTCAGAATATTTAGCGATCAGGCAGAAACTCAGTATTCCTGATTTGCAACATTCCTAGCTATGCTGATCCTGGCATACTCATGGAATAGTAGGTTCACTTAAAAGACAGAGGCATGAAAACAAGGGAAGGATTTCCAAGCTTGGCATGTGCTCAAGCTCAGCATCCCTAGGTTAAGAGTATTGTTTGGACAGTTCAGTGTCTAAAGTGTATAGTTATTTTCATTCCCAATTGAGCTACATGGTTCCTTTCTTCAAATTCCTGCGGCTCTGGGGTTAGTTTCAAAGTGTCGTATTATGGTGTTTGATGAGATGAAGTCATGTGAAATGACAAAGTTACTTATATGATGTTCTTGGGATTTTGAAAACTACTAAGTTCATGTGCTCAACCGCTTGCTGCCAGGAGCTTTTTAGAAAATCATAGTGGGGTCATTAAAATTTTAGTTTACCTAATAGTTTAGATTTTAATCTCTAGAAATCATGTGACCTAATATCTTAGAAGAATGGAATTAAAATGATTTTTAGGGTGACAATTATTTAAGGTAACAGTTTTAGTAAACATGTTAGATTTCAAGCCTTACTACTACAGTAAACATCTGGGTCTTTCCTGAGATTATTCACCAGTGAATTCAGTTGGAAAATTGATTTATTCTGTTAGAAACCTCTTTAGTCATTTTAGTCACAGGCTGTGAGAGCTGTTTTAGGTAGAATTATCAGCACTTGTGGACCTTACAGTTTAGTGGTGATTTACCAGATGATTATAGGTGATCTTTGACCTGATAAGAACTGAACAGTTCAAACTGTTCAAGTGAAAAGGTGAGAGGAGTAAGACATTTTAAGCTCTAGTAAATATTTGAGCAGACCTTTATGATTGGATCAAAGATTGTGTGTATTATAGATGGAAGATTTTGGAATAGGAAGTAGAAGACGATGGAGACCACTGTAGGTTTAGGAACGCTTTCACTGCTGTGTTTTTTGAATATGGGGTGGGGGGATCCCACAGAGGCTTTACACGAGGAGATATAAAAGAATAATGAGGAAATGGTAAGGTTAATGAAAACAGGTAGACTGATGTGATGTTAGTACAAACAAGAAACACAAGCAAGAGCTTGAAATAGGGTGGTCACATGGTAAAAAGAAATAGATGCAAGAGATACTTCAGAGGTAAATGATATGGAATTTGACATTTAGATGGAGTGGGAGAACAGTTTGAACATTGTGAATGTTCAATAAATGGACGATTTGGGTGTGTTTTAATATGTAATAGAGTCCATCAAAATATACTGCATTTACCCCTGAAATGCTATAGTAATTTTCTATAGATATGGGCTTAAAATAAATGATAACCCAAAGTTAACACCATTTGCTTAATGTCCTATAGCAGTAGTCTCAACTTGTTTATAATTTTTTAGTTTGCATTCTATAAAGGCTTAAGATTTTAACAAAATCAAAGTAAATTTAGTAAAAATATTAATGAAGTTTCCTAGTTATATGAAGTTGAGTTATATTTAGGACTTGAAATTTGAATATCGACAATGATTTCATAGTGGTAGTTTCAAACAAAATAAGATCCCTTAGTGAAGAGCTAAAAAGTTGTGCTGTTTGCTTGAAAGATTTGATCAGAATCTTCCTTCATATAGTTTCTCATTTTTGAATGATAGTTAGAAATTATTTGGTGAAAATAAGTGGAAAAGAAGCTAGCCAATTCCAGAGGATTAGTAAATTTTAAACATGGAAGTTGGGGTATAGTTTCCATACTGAGAATTAATTTTCATGTTTCTCTTTCCAATGTCCAGTTATCTCAATTAAACAGAAGTATCTTATAACCAGTTAATTAATAACTTTGCCTTTTCTCTGTTATTCTTAGAGGAAATGGGAAATAGAGCTTTTTTCTTTTTTTTTGTGTAGATAATAACTGTGGTATCTGTAAGCACCAGATTTACTAGGTTTTTTAGTCCTGTAACAAATTATTCTTATATTGTTTTGCTGTCAAAATTTTGAATCAGTTCATATTTAGTTATATTTTTGTCATAAATGTGAACTACAGCATCACTGTATTCTTTTAATATTTTCTAGATACACACAAATCCATGTTTTTATCAGTCTTCCGAGAAGAGCCAGCTCTTACCATTGAAGACAAATCTATGGCACTGGCTGAATCCTGGAGATAGATTTTCTTTGTTAGTTGACAAATACATTTTCTGTGTTTTTTCTACATATTCTGAAACAGAAATGGAATATACTTTAAGGTAAGATTGCCTGATAGAATATGATGAAGTAATAGGTATTTGTTATCTAATCCTTCCTCCATCCACAAATGCGTCAGTAGAAACCATTCTAAAATTAAACTACACTGGTGACAAAAATTACAAGTATGAGTGCTTGTGTATGTGTTTCTAGAAAACTATTGCTTTTACTATACTAGATTTAGATACATTTCCAAGCTTTTATTTTTTTCATTCCAACGAATTCTGGTAATATTACATTATAAATCTTGTGATGACTGATTGCTTATAGAAGTATTTGAAGATAAATGAAAAATATATCTGTATCACAGTATAACAGTGTTTATATTTAAATAAAGGCATAATAGAATAATTTGTACTTGTTTAGAACTGAATGCTAAATAAAATTTTGTTCTGGAATTGGATTTTTTATTGTTAAATTTATTCTAGATAATTATAGTCAAATATTCCCTACAGGAAGAATTTTATGACAGTGAGCAGTGCAGTAAATAATATACTGAGCAGGAGGTGAAGAACATGTGTTAGTGTGCATATTTTATTCTAGTATACTGTAATTACTTTGGGGGTCTTGGTAAGTCCTCGAAAAGGAGCACAGCTCAGTTCAGGGTACTTGTGAGAATCACATTTGTAATCTACCTAGTAGGCAACAGAAATTTCTTAAATTTAAATGATTTTTAAATAAATTTTTATTTTATTTCATAGAAACAGTCAAATGCTTGATGAAGATGATATTTTGAATGAAACACCAAAATCTTCCCTGATGAATTTGCCTGATGAGACAATGGGTGCCCCGCAGTGGGAAAGAAGCCCAGAAATAGCTGAGACCCAGACTGCTATGGAAAATAGTGTGGTGAGAAATTTGAGGTCTCATTCATTTATAGGCCATTCTTTTTGAGGTGGGAAAAGAAACCTGAATTTCTAAATATGATGGCAATATTTTTAGCATTATTATTTTTAAGTCAAATGCAGAGAATATCATGCTAGTCCATCAATTTGGCTAATAAATTAAGATAATAAATTTCTATCTTATAGAAATTTAACTCAGTCAGTAGTTGCAAATGTTTACTGGTAGTTTAATGCAAAGAAATAATTTTGGATGCATGATAAATTTTAGTAATTAATATGTAGGTACCTTTTTAGTCTTTCCTAGGTAAATGTACAAATTTCAGTAAGCAACAGCCAAATCCTGGCCAGAGGAAAAGAATCCTTCCAACGTGGATGTTAACAGAAAATGTTAGTGATCAGAATCTTCCAGTACCAGTCATTAGTGAAGGTGGGTTTTATTTCAAGAAACATTAAACAAAACTTGAAAGTTTTTCTGAATAATTAGAGATAGTGTAGTGGTTGTGAAATATATAAATTAATCAAATCTTTTTTTTTAGATGTTTTGCATGAAGTCTCATTTAAAACATAAGCTATTTTTAGGCCATTTATCTAACACCATCCTGTTAACAAGTGTCATTTATCTTATTGCTAGACTTACCGTATTATTGTAAATTTGTGAATATATCAGTTGGTGTAATGTCCAAGATAAAAGGCCAGCCAGATAAGAGTTTTTTAAATATATTTGATTACATTTCTAAAAGTGCCAGGCATACAGTCTTAATGTGCTGAGGGATTCAAAGAGGTGACCTGTGTCCTAGTACACACAATACCACAATGATTTATGTCATCTGCTGTATATTCCTACTGATTCAAGATGATTGAAATGTTTGTTACATTGTCTTGTGTAACCAGTGTTTTATTTGTAGCCTTCCAGTCATCTCAGGTTTAGTTAACTGCTTTTTTTTAAAAATATGGGTCTCATTTTTCTTTTTCTCATATTTAGTGCTTTGCTATTGAACATTAGATGTTATTAATGATATATCGTAGAGATTTAAAAATATTTCTTTCCTATGAATAAATACTATTTTTCTAACAAATGATATGTGTATTAGGCAAACATGCAATTTTCTTCCAATAGTCAATTAATTCATACCCTAAACTCTGTTTCAGACACTGTTGTGTACAGCAGCTGCAGTATAAGTTTAGTTCTTTCAGCTTTAGGCTGCTGCTTTTTCTTTGACTTCCAGGGTTTCCCCCAGGCACACATGGTTTATCAGGCAGCAAATGATTGGAGGGATTTTATGGTAGATTTTGGTTATTTGCCCCTCCGAGACGTCTTTACCTCATGGGATTTTTATCCCTAAGCAGCTCTGCAAACCTCAGAGTCTGTCTTCTGGCCAGTTAAGCCATTAAGATTGCAACTGTATCATTATCCTTAATGAAATTGTAAAATTATTTCCTTTGTAGAAAAATACCAGTAAACTCACAAATCCACAAACTTCCCGAGTTGTAGTTAATTTTTCAATGTTAGATTCTTTTGCAGTTTAGCTTTTTTGGTCACTGTTCAGTGCTTTCAAATAGTTGCTTTTTAATGTTTTATCCAAAATTTATAGTAGTTTTGTATTAGTCCAATCAATCTACTCTGCCTGCTTACTCTGAACATTCTTTTTATAAATCAACAACACAATGTATACTTAATAATATCCTTTTTGTATTCAGCATAGTGGTCAGTCTTCTAAATTTTTTTTTAATCAATTATCTAAATATATATGAATTCGTTATTTGATGCTACTTTGGATTATAGTAGGATTGCAGTGGTTTAGCATATCATGTATAATTGCTTTAATTTGGAGAGTTTTCATATCTAAATCTAAGATTTCTTGCTAAGAGTTTTATTCTAGTATAGTGGTTTCTATCCCCCCCACTCCCATTGCACATGTATGATATATTTAACACTGCTATTTTTCATTATGTATGGTTATCCTTAGCCTGCAGAAAGGAAATGAGAGATCGGAATAAAGAGGGGCAGCACTTTCCTTCAGTGGAATAATTTCTCTAATAAGAAAGAATAGCTGTCTTGACCCAATATTGGACCAGTGTAACTGATCCCTGTAAACAGGTCCTTTTCTTTCAGTTTGTTTTGTATTGTAACTGCTTCTGTGCTGCCACTATTATATTACTTATAATTGTCCAAAATATGTTGTGCTTCAAATTATAAATAGTATTAACTTTAACTTGATATGTACACCATATAAAATATCAGGTACACTTCTGAATATTTCACAAATAAGAGTAATTTGACAATGGCTTGTTCTGGAATAGTGTATGATAATTAAAATATAAAAGCTACAAAATAGGATAGGAAAGAGTCTTTGGATTCTTAAAAACTTAGACTGTAGAGGAGTACTTGTAAGAGTAAATTCAGTTTATTTAATTCCTTTATAGACAAAGATTTAGAAATTTAGTACTTGAATCTAGTTAATTAAAGTTTGGAATGATTATACTTTTATTTGATGTGTGGTTTTGAAAAAAATATTGCTGTTTTGTTTGTTTAAGTACTATATCATCCAGATTTAGACACATTTAGATGTAGGTTATTCTATTCTATTTTGGGAGGTTTGTATGTGTTCATTGGTATTTGTTTTGATTATCTGGAGCCAGCCATATTTTGGAAGAGTCTCTGTCCTTAGGTGTAGGACAAATAACATTAATTGATGTCCAGTGACTTATCTAGTGTCACATAATTAATGGCAGAGCTGTAATTGAGACCTAGCACTGTCTGGCTTTAAAGCCCATGGTCTGAACCATGTCACTTAAATTTACCCTCTGTCTGTTTTAGTGGTTTTGTTTTTTCCTTTTTAAATATTTTCTTGCATTCTCTCCTGGAACTGTTCTTAGTTTAACTCTTGGTTTAATCTTTAAATATATGTGAGTGTTTTCTGTGATAAGGCTGTTTTTTCTGTTTTACAGCTATTTCAGTTCTAGTTTATTTTATTTTCTGTGCCCCCAATACTAGTCCTTGGATGTTACCAATTTTCTTCTTGTCCTTTAATGATTGGGAAATGAAGATATTTGTCTGTCAGAGCCTCTCCTCTCTCAGCTTCCAATTGTCTATTCCTTCAAACTTGTAGGTCCCAGGATATGTCAATTCCTAAATTATGGCCCTCTTGCTAGATTTGAATAGGGGGCTTTTATATTTTTACTGATATCATTTTAGTCTGTGGCACTTTTTCGCCCACCTTCCCACCCTCCAACATGGAGTCATGGAAAGTGGTGATAGAGATCAAAGCAGTTTCCAAACTATTTGGTCAGTGTTTAATTTTTTACTTTGAATATTTTCTGATGACAATACAATGCATACTATAAGCATTAAAATAATATTGTTTTAACTTTAGTTCAAAATTAACTTAAAGCACTAGTGGTTCTATATATTTCATTTATTTCCAGCAACCCTGCTAAGTTGTCTAATTAATTCTAATAATTTTTGAGCCTCTTGGATTTAATAGCTATACAGTTGAATTACAGTTTTGACTCTTCTTATCTACTACTTTTTAGTTTTTTATCATTTTTATTTCATGAACAAGACTGCAAATTTTGTTATTTTATTTATTTTTAAAGATTTATTTTTATTTATTTATACATGCAAGAACTGGGGTGTAGGCTAGAGGAGCGGGCACGTGGGTGAGAGGATTCACCAGAGACAGAGTGGGGAGCAGGACAAACATATCTACTGGTACACTGCTAAGGGGAACAGCAGGAGAGAAAAGAGAGGTCTGTAAATTTTAAATGAAAATGGATAAAACTTATTTGGCTGATAAAACTTATCTTGTGGGAATTCAGTTAGTGTTTCAGCATTTAATATGACCTGTATCAATTAGTCTGATTCCCTTTACATGTTTAAGATGTTTAATATTACTTTTTTGTTTTTTTGGAAAAATTGTTGACTTTCCTGAAAACTTTTTTTGCATTTTTATATGTTAATATAATTAATGATGTTGGTAGATTGCCTAATATTGTACCATACTTGTGTTCCTGGAATAGGGTAACTTTATCATGATGGCTTATTATTTTTATGCTCCATTAGGTTAGATTTCCCAATATTTATAACATTTGTATCTATATGGATTAGTATGGTTATTATTTTTCTCCATGTGTGACATCTAGTTTGATTATGGTGTAAGAGCTATGTCAGAATTGTATAAAATGAATTAGGAGGTTTTCCATGTATGCTCAAAGACTGTTTGAATAACAAATATTTGTTTCTTTATAGAACTTTGCAACATCACAATCTGGGCTTACTTTTGTAGTTGGTAGTTCTGGCATAGAATAGATAAGTTAGTCCAATAAAAAAGAAACACCCAGAAACAGATCAAAATAATGTACATTTAATATATTGAATATGATCAGTTCAAGTTGTCAGGGAAAGGATGCATTATTGTTATAAATGATACTGGGGAAATTAGCTTTCTGTGTGGAAGAAAATATATTAGAAAACTACCTTACATTATTCATAAATAAATTTCTATTGAATTAAAAATCTCAATGTAAAAATTAAAATTATTAAGCATTTGAAGAAAATCAGAGGAAAATGTTTTTTTCTTTTTTTTTTTTTTAAAGATTTATTTATTTATTTATTTATTTATACAAGCATGGGGTACAGTCAGAAGCATGGGAGGGTGAGATAATTCACCAGAGCCAGAGCAGGGAACAGAACAGGCAGACTGATGAAATACACTGCTAAGGGGAGCAGCAGGCAAGACAGGAGAGGTCTGCACGCCATGTGGGACCCTCGCTGGTGGCCGGGGATCGAACTGGCGCTGCAGAGGCTGTGGGCAGCTTCGCAGCCCAGGGCTCAACCGCTGCACTACCAGGGGAGGCCCCGGGAAAATGTTTTTATTTCTTCTGGTCGGTGTTCTTAGGATTAAGACATCTTAAGATGATAAGGAGCCTAGAATCATAGATAAAAATTGACCAATTAGTCTAGATTAAAAATGAAAAAAAAAATGAAAAAAATATTTGTATGGAAAGACACAATAAGCAAGGTCAGAGGCAAATAACAGGCTGACAGAAATACTGGAGATATTATGTTCCACATTTATAAAGAAAGGTTTTTGCTTATTTATTTATTTATTTTTTATTTTTACAATTTATTTTTAACAGCATTGTTTTTTTTTTTTTTTTTTTTGTGGGACCCTCCCCGGCGGCCGGGGAACGAACCAGCCTCGAAGCCCAGCGCTCAACCTCTGCGCCACCAGGGGAGGCCTCAGCATTGTTCATTTTTAAACAATATTTGCTTCCCTCCATCCCCTCAGTTGTAGTCCCCATAGAATTTCCTTCACCAATATACCTGTGCACCATCACCACAGTCCCCTGTGTTCCTCCCTCCCTCCCTGTGATCCCTCTCCCTCCTCCTCCCCTGCAGTATGTCTCTGATTTATAATTGTCTGTTTTTGCTTTATGGTGTTTTGTACTGTTTTTTTTTTTATACTGATGTCTTATTTGGTTCCCCTATTTTCCTGCTATAAGTGGAACCATCCAATATTTTTCTTTTTCCTTCTGACTTATTTCACTGAGCATAATTCCTTCTATCTCCATCCACTGAGAATGGTATGCGTTTATCTTTTTTTGATTGCAGAATAATATTCTATTGTGTATATATACCACGTCTTCTTGATCCTGTCATCTATTTTTGCGCATTTGGGTTGTTTCCAGGTTTTACCTATTGTAAATAGTGCTGCAATAAACATAGGGGTACAAGTGTTCTTTTGAATCAATATTTTTGTGTCCTCTGGGTAGATCCCTGGGATTTCTGGGTCATATGGTAGCTCCATTTTTAGTAGACTGAGGAACCTCCAGACAGCTTTCCATAGTGGCTGGACCAGTTTGCACTCCCACCAGCAATGTAGGAGAGTTCATAAAGGAAGGTTTTTAGTAAGTGTCCACTTAGTAACAAAAGAGAAGAAATTTTGGTGCATTGATATGCAACAGAAGAAAATATACAAATAGTCAATAAATATCTATTACAAGATAGGAAAATGTAAATGGAAACAATCAACAATTTGCTCATTAAACTTATCAAAATCTAAGTAACTTATAATACCCAATGCTGACAGAATGGTTATTATTGAATAGCTGGTGGAAGTATAAATTAGTATAGCCTATTAAAGTTTTTTTGCTGCTACCTCTTAAGTGTTTAAGAATACAACCAAAATTTGATCCAGAAATTCTAATTTGTAGGTATTGATCCCACATAAATAATAACATTTATACCTTTAGCCCTATGTGTGTTTACGTATATGTATTTGTAGATATAGTTGCTTAAACTTAAGAAAAGTTGAGAAGGATCCCCATCAAGTTGTTAGTATAACTTAGCAGTGGTTCTTTTGGAGTGTAATTCTGGATGTATATAATTTTTAATGACATATGCATACATTGAGCCATCATTCATAAGACAATAGTGTTACAGCTCATGTAAGTACATGCAATTAATAATAATTAAAATAAGCTGATTTATTTTATTTATTTAAAAAATTATGTGTATTGAGGTAATGTTTGTTTACAATACTATATATGTTTTAGGTATATAGGTTCACACCTCTACAAACTATATTTTCATCCCATACCCACCAACAAAGCCCCATAATCCTCTACCACAGTCCACTGGGTTCCCTCCTCCCTTTCCCCTCCCCACCTCTTAACTTCCTTTCCTGGTAACCTTAGTTCTGTGGTCAGAGTTCAAGGATTTGTTTTGTTTTGTTTTCCTTTATTTTTCATATATGAATTAAATCATCTGGTATTTGTCTTTCTCTTTCTGACCTACTTTGCTTAGTGTAATCCCCTCTAATTCTATCCATGTTGTTGCATATAGTTAAGAGTTCAACTTTTTTTTAAAGCAGAGTAATATTCCATTGTATATGCACTGCTTCTATTTTTGGGCACTTATACTGTTTCCATAACTTAGCTAATGTAACTAATGCTGCATTGAACATATGGCATCAAAAAAGAAGTTAGCTGTGTCCTTGGAAGGAATATTTATAGTAATGAATTTGGAATTTGGGAGTATGTTATATTATATATATATATTTAATTTTAGAATTTTATATACATGTGTGATATAAAAGTTGGCATTTGGCAAACCATTTTTGCAGAAGCTGTGTCTTAATTAATTTACATTTTTTAATTTTTAGCACAGTGAGAAATATCATTAATTCATTACTTAACTTGGTTCCACTGATCCATAGCCGGTGTAATATTTCATCATTTGTGGCATTAAGTTGTATAATTCTGTTTACTTCTATTTCTCAGTTTTTAAAATGATAGGAAATGCTTCCTAATTCAGATTAAAAATAAATATTTAAATAATTTAGGTAACGTTTAGTTATTGGTTAGTTTACTCTTACAGTGTTTATATTGATACTTGATTTTCCTGTTTAATAATGTGGACGTTATTTTATTAGTATTTCTTTCTGAAAGAAATGAAGGAATATTAATTTCACGCCACTTGAATATTCTTTACAGTTGTTCCGAGTCAAATCCCATCTACCGCTTGTTTTTGTAAATAAAGTTTTATTGGAACATAGCCATCCTTATCCATGTATGTATTGTCTGTGCCTGCTTTCATGGTACAAAGGCAGAGTTATTTAGTTGTGACAGATACTGCATGGTCTGCAAAGCTTAAAATAATAATTCTCTGGCTTTTTATAGAAAGTTTGCTAATCTTTACTTTAGAACATATAGTGACTATGGATTTCTTACATACCTATATTCAGTCTCTCATGGCAAACAGGAAAAAATTTTTATGTTCACAATTCGTTTAGTTAAACTGTTTATTGAGTACCAGTTTGTGCTAGGCACAGTTCTACGTACTGGAGACGTAAGAGGGGAACATGACCAAGGCACATAAAGTCTCTGCCCTCTTGAAGTTTCCATTCAGACATTAGCTGTGAAGATTTCCCCCTGAAAACGAGTAGTTGTTTTCTTTTTACCAACTCCCAATTAGACAGTCCATGAATTTTTTTGACAGACTATAATACTGAGGTTTGCCAACTATAGCGAATTTGGGTAAATATTTTATGGGATAGTGTCCATTGTTATTGAGAATTATTTCCTTCATAGACATTTGTAGAGGTCACTCTCCCATTTGTGTTATTTTGGATTCTTAATTTTTATCTAAAAAAATTGAATCTCTCACTGGACATTAGAGGCTCAGTACTATCTGTAAAATAGCTATATGTCAGACTGTTAGAGAAAATCAATAATAAAATAAAATATTAGGATACTAACATATGTCAAGTACTATACTGGATAGTTTATATCTTGTACCTCATTTGTTCCTCTTAATAACTCTATGAGTTATTATAATTCATAATTTCCAGATGATATGAGGTAAAACAGTTAAAGGATGGAACCTACACTGGTCATGGCCTGGCTGACTCCAGGGCTGGAGCTCTTGGCCATTGTGCTGATCAATACTTGAGATTTCCAAGTGTTTTTAAGTTGGCATTAATATAAATAAATCTTTAATTTTATTTGCCTTTTTCTTTTTCTTTTTTTTTTTTTTTGGTGTGAATACTTAACATTTGAACACACAGGAAATAATTTTATTCTTTTTTTTCTTGGTGTGTGTGTTTAAGATAATAATATTCAGGAAAGTGGAAAAATGGGAATCTGCAAAAATAAAACCCAAGGAAACATAACACAGCAAAGAAGAAAGCGATTAATTTCATCGGAAAGTTCAGAAGGCACATCAGCAGAGCAAGACACAGGGAAAAAATGCAGAGATGCTGATCAGGAAGAGTCTGTCATTTCATCAAAGGTGATTTTTTAAAAAATTCATTATCTGATTTTTTTTTGCCGGGTATTGGAGATAGGAATTAATTATATGTTATATACAACTAAGCCAAAACTACTTTTTATCATTTATGTTTGTGAAAATAGAAACTAAAACAGATTTTATTTTGGCTTACTGAAACTAATATTTAATAGTACTTGCATTGTAGAAAAGAAAACTATTTAATTTAGATAGTTTCAGACTAGAAAAAGGTGTCTTGACTTTGGTCAGACTTTGGTACCCCCATTCTGAATATTGGTGTCTTCTATAATATTGGCATTCCCAGACTGAATTTTTCTTGAAAGGACATAATCACATTTTTCTCAGTAACTTTGAAGAGAACAACTACTGATGGACTTGCCTGTTGCAGGATTACTTCTGAGCTGATAAACAGTATTTATAAACATTTTCTTTCTTCATTCAGTTTTTACCAACTCACTGAAATGGTTTGGCTATAGTAAGCACTTGAACACAGAATAGTTAAAGAAAATGAGGCTTATTGATTAGAAGCATTTAAAGAGAGAAGGAAAAAGAAACTATAGAGGTGGCCTCATGCTAGAAAGTTCAGATATTTTTCCCCTTCAAAGAGAGGAGATGACCATTTTCAGGTCTTTGTAGGCTTTTGATTGAACTCTGTGGGTTCCCATCTTTTCAGTGAGAGCCCAGGGAGTGGGAATAGTTTTAGACTAGTGTGCACTGGGATGATTGAGATGCAGCAGCTATACACCATAAGGGAGGGAGGCAAGGAAAGGTAATTATTTAACCTCTTTGAAGGAGGTTTTTGATTTAGGTGTTGAAAAGATGGCTGGCCTCTTAGCAAGTGGCGAGGAGGAGTATTGTCAGTGAGTGCACATGTAATCTGGTCCATGAATGTACACCTATGCTGGAATGTCTTATGCATGCCCATGTGAATGTGTGTGGATGTAGATATAGCTGGGTGACGAAGCTACTGAAATAGGCTGAGGAGCAGATCAGGATGACGGTTGAAAAAGAAATTAGATGGGCCTCCCTGGTGATGCAAGGGGTTAAGCACTGCACTATGAAGCAATCTGCAGCTTCTACAGCACCAGTTGGATCCCCTGCTGGCCAGGGAGCAACCCACATGGTGCAGCAGACCTCTCCTGGCTCGCCCGTTGCTCCCCTCAGCAGTGTACTTCAGTCACTCTGCCTGTTCTGCTCCCCGCTCTGTCTCTGGTGAATTCTCTCACCCCCTGCATCTCTGGTCTGTATCCTAGCTCTTGTATGCATAATTAAATAAATCTTTAAAAAAAATTAGGACTGTGTTTTATGGCTTCAGAGAATTTTGGAAAGTAAATTTTAGGTGAGAGAGTCATGTGGTCAGCAGTGTCTAGCAGTGATATGTAAGATGGAGCCAGGAGCCACCTAAGAAACTGTCACAGGAGGCCACAGGAAATGAAAGTCTGAACTAAAATGAGAGTAGTGAGGCCAAAAAGAAGCAGACAAATGTGCAAGATATTCCTGATGACTAAAAGAATATTGAAAAGATAAAAATGTTCTTAAGAGCAGGAAGCAGTAGATACAGCAGTTGGGGAGAGTAGAACTTGCTTGGTTTGCAGCAATGGGGGCAAATCTATGAAAGCTGTCTAGTAGCAGAAAATCAGGGCTAAAGTGAGAGAGAATTCTATGATATCCATATTATTTGGAGGTGAGTATATAGAGCATGTGTAGGGGAATGCTTTGTCAGTGAGAATCATTTCCAGTTACACTGCCTGCTCTGTCTGTATATGTAGTTTTCCCCTATGGTATTAACTGTTGAAGTGAATAAACTGGCTATTAGGTATCTCACTTCTTTGTATATAGATGCCGGCTGTGGAGTCTTACTCATATTTCTTCAGGGGAGATGGAAGATGTAACTCTTACTTATGTGGCTATATCTTAATTGGCCATTTGGGGCAGTATCATTTTATAGCCTGACCTTTATCAGTCCCACTGAAACATCTTTTTATTCAATCATTCAAGTTTTCATTAAGCTAGTAGTAGTAATATAGTGGCATTGATAATGCTATTAATAGCAACAACTGAAAAACATAACCTTTTAGTGAGCACTTACTCTAGGCTAGACCCAGTACTGCATACATTTATGTCATTTAAGTTTTAAAAAATTCTAGAAAATAGTTTGATAATCTCATTGGTTTATAGATTAGGGGACCTGCAGCTCTGAAAGTTGAAATCAACTTGTTCAAGGAGGTTAAAGGATAGAAAATGGCAGTTGATATTCAAAATCTGATTTTTTTTTTTACTTCAAAGACTGTTCTAAGAATCGTTACATTGAGTAGCCTTTTTGTTATATAGAAGGCAGTGTTCTAGAATCTGGGATTAAAAGATGAATAAGACATAGTTGATAAGGATCCACAGTCTTGTGGGAAACATGATTCAAAATTATTAAATAATATGACAGTACATTGATTTTTTTTTTTTTTAATGGAGACTTGAGGACAACTACTTAAGCCAGCTGGAGGATTCCTATGGAAGGGTTCCTAAAAGAAATGCTGTCACATGAATGTTAACAGGAGAGCAGTAGGAATGAACCAGATACAAAAGAGGGAGAGACAGGAAGTCATCACCCCAGGGTGGGACAAAGAAGAGCAGAGGGGATGCAAATGGTGTGCTGGAAACTACTGTCTCTAGAATTATTGATGCAAAGTTGAGCAAGAGAGGGGAATGGTTAGTAGACCTTGAGATGTTTTTAGCCTCAGAGGATAATCTTGGCAGCTCTTTAGAGATTGAAAGAGGACAGAATAAAAAACAGGGGGGTGCTTGAGATTAGGGCATTACTTGCAGCCATAAAGCAACGAGAATCTGACTCCAGGCAGTAGCATAAGAATGATGCAATGACTTTGGATTAGAAAAATATATAGAAAACAGAACTGCAGGACTTGTTGCTTGGATCTAGAGAAAGTGAGGGAAAAAAACAGTGAAAGATAGACTTCCTAGTTTCTAGTTAGAGTGACTCTTTTAGTTGAGGCAATGAGATATTGAGGAAGAAATGTCTAGCTGGTAGTTGAATATATGAGTTTGAACTCAAGATTGAAGCTGTACCTGGAGATTAGGACTTTTTAGTCATTAGCATATGGATAATAATGAGATTGGTACAGAACTTTTATGGTAACTTACCAGTATAGAAAATCTTTCCAAAGATAACTTGGAAACAACAACAGATATTACCTCATTGACCTTGTGTTCAGGGTAAGTTCTTTATCCTGTTTCTGGTAGTACTTTACCCCAGCAGATGGTTGAGGGGTGGGGAGGCCTTGGTGGGTAAGTTAACAGACTATTTCAGTAGCTTCAACAGTACAGTTCAGCTGCCTTCAAGCACCAGTATCAAATTCCACCAGCTTCAGGTACCTTCACCCCCGAGGTCTCTAGGATGCATTTTGTACTGCGTAGGGGATCTGACCTCTTTATCATGAATCTCCACTGTCATTTCATTCTTCACATTCTCATCTAGGAAGTAAGCAGTGTGGGTGTTGATACAATATGTAGCTCTCTGCCTTTCTTCTTCCAAGTATGGAGCACCATCCATCTTTCCTATTCTCTCACTTAGTCCATTCAGTGACCTGTTCTGGCTCATAAGCTTTGTAATTGGCACAGTACAAGTTTATGTCTCAGCAAGCTAACAAATTACTGCATGTAATAGAGTTTGGGCATCATTTATAAATAACTGAAGTCATGAATTTTAAATTCTTCAATGCCAGGGGTTCCACTGAATAGCAGCATTTCATGGAATTCCATAAGGAACATTAAGAATTTCAGTTTTTAAGCCTCTTAAAATATATTTGAGAACCCCTGTCCATTGTATTAATAATTGTGACTTTATAATTTCTTTTCCTTTTAGAATAAATTGACATGTTATATATATTTTTTGTGAATTAAAAAAAAACATGTTGTGGGAGTAGACGGAGTCGAAATGATGCTAAACATTTCATATTTTATATTTTCTTTCCTTTGACAGTCCCTTCTCCCCCACCGCTTGTTTTTTAATGTAGGTGAGAGATAATGGTAGCTTATATCTGGGTGTAACAGTGAAGGAGTAACAGTGATCTTACCTAGTCTGCTTGCTTGCCATTTTTCCTCTTTCATTTGTTTATTAACCTTTATCTACACAATACCTATTATGGTGGCATGTATGCTAGGTCTGCAAGACTAACAGTCTCTGTCTTCACAGAGCTTATATTCTAATTAAGGAAAGACAGACAATAAAAATGCAAATAAAATAACATTGTGCTAAGGTGTCTGAATACATGCCTGTCACATGCCTGTCATGTTGTGTAAAGGTAAGAGGAGAGGAGGGAGTCACTACCTACTTTAGCTAGGGTAGCTGGGGTAGGTAGGTAGTGTGTCTGAAGAGCTAGCGTTTAACCTGAGAACAAAGAATGAAAGCAAGTGTAATAATGTAAAGAATGAAAGTGGGCAGTCTGTAGTGGTAGAGTCCCATAAGATGGGGCAAAGGAAATGGAGTGAGGTTGAAATAGGTACTTCTTCTGTTTTGATTTTAAATGTAGTAGGAAGCCACAGAACCATGTTAGGAAGGGGAGAGACTTGATCTAACGAACATTTTTTTTAAAGACTTATTTATTTATTTATTTATTTATACAAGCACTGGGTACAGTCAGAAGCGCAGGAGGGTGAGAGAATTCACCAGAGCCAGAGCAGGGAACAGAACAGGCAGACTGACGAAGTACACTGCTAAGGGAAGCAGCGGGCGCCGCAGGAGAGGTCTATGCGCCATGTGGGACCCTTGCCGGAGGCCGGGGATAGAACCAGCGCTGCAGAGGCTGCGGGCAGCTTTGCAGCCCAGCACTCAACCGCTGCGTCACCGGGGAGGCCCTAATGAACATTTTACTTTTTTCATTATTATGTTTTTAAATGGCATCCACTGGAAGGTCAGCTGCTAGGGGTATTGGGTTACAGGAGCTAAGGAAGTAAATCACTCATTAAGTGAACTTAGAAGGCCAAGATGTTAAGCTCCAAGCCAATCAGGATTTCATTTTATTGAGGTCAATGCTGTTTTTACTTCACATTAATAAAGCCTACCCTCTGTTGCCAAGATTCATAAAAAATCCTGGTTGTAATTATTCCCTCCACTGATAAGGAGATAGAGAATGTCAAATTTAGGAAGGCTGAAAGAAAGGAATGGAAGGAGAAAATGCAGTCTCTCCTCCTCTGGTTTGCAGTCTCTGATTCCAAAACATATGGAATCATGCCGTTGTTCTCATAAGTGCTGTGGCCACTCTAGGAATAGAGATCTCTTCCTGAGGCCAGCTTCCCTTCTTGGACACCAGTTACTTTGGGGCAGAGGTGGACTACCTAAGGTCTTGACAGATGTCAAGCTCAGTATAGGAGACTGCCCCTCCATCTACAGCCTTAAATTTCCTTATCATCTTAAACTTCACTTGCCCCGTTCTCTATTAAAAAAAATTTTTTTTGAAGAAAAGCAAATGTAGGTAGGAAATGATGGCTTATATCTAGGTGGTAACAATGAAAAACTAAGAAGAGATCTTTCCTTATCTGCTCACTTTCCTTTTTCCTCTTTCATTTCTTTGTTAACATACTAATAAGGATTTTAAGATTGAAGATGAGAAATGTTCACCATTCACCCCCAGGTTTTATTCAAAGAGAACTAAGAGCCCAGAAGATTTTAAGATTTGAAGGAGTATTATGTTTCTGGGGAGAAGTTACTCTCCCTTTCTGAAATCAAAAGAGAGGCACTCTAAGGGAATTATTTATGGAGTTATGCTATGCCGGCAGAACAAGAGACTAGCATTTTATTGAACATCTGCTTAGCTGAAGGATTTGCTGACCTTCTTTTACTGCCTGAACAGAAAGAAGAACACTGGTGGTAGTTAACCTAGTAGGGAGATGGGTCGATTACTCCCTTACCACCCCAGACGTCCAGTCCCAGGCATGTTAGTTGTCCTATTGCAGAGAGACATTGGATTGGAGTGCAGTTGAGCAACTTGGGAGGAAAGACTATGGTGAGAGATGTGGCAGGAATGCCACAACTGACGGTTGACTCTAAGGGGTAGCCAAGTGATTGCTTTTCCCTTAGATCGTTTAAGATGATCCAAGAACCATGATAAGACCTAGGTTCCTTTTTGCAAGGTGTTTAGTCTGTTTGGATAACATTTTAAGTTTATATACCATGTTTCTTAAAAAAAAAAAAAAAGACAATTAGTCCAGAAGAAAAAATGCTAATAATACTTTATTGAGAAATTTTGGCTGTTGAATATTAAGTAACAACAAAACCAGCTTTTCTCTGTAGGGCAGCTATCATATGTGAGTCTTAAATTATAAATGCGGTGAACTTTTTATGTGTATCTGGTGAGCTGTCATCACATCTTAGGTATGGTTACTAGGAGGACAAGGGCTTATCTAAGCAAATGCTTCCACTTCACAGGATGTAGAAGTAATTAGAGGTCATCTTTGATAAGATCAGAAGGGTTTCTCTTTGTACTGGTTTCTCCTGTCCAGTCATAATCTGACTGAGAATATTTATTTGGTCAAAAATACCTTTAATTGGTTAAGGTGAAACTTACTCAGACTACTTCAAAGGAATCATGTTTATTTTCTGAGTTGGTTGTAATAGAACTTCATGTACATTTTGTCATTCAGCTATAGGAAAAATCATGATTACATTTAGAGGGTAAAAATAAAGTATTTCAGTAATTAATTTCAGTAATTTATGAGGACAATACATATTAAGAATATGACATTGTGGAGTAGCATATTCAAGAATCTAGTAGGTTTTTTGGGAAAGATTATGTTCAAATCAAAACAAATGTATTCTTTCATTTCATTTGTGTTTTTCTGGTAATTTTTCACTGAATGATTGTTAAGTTTTGATACAACTGTAAATTCATTTTCTAATAACTCTGGATTGTTTTATTTATTTCCCTTAAATTTTGTTGATTTATAATTTACCTTTACATATCTATGTAACGTTGGGGTTAGATTTTCATACCTCCATATGTGCACATGCTTCATTTACCCTCCACCAATACTCCTGTCCCGGTGTTCTATCCCCTTCCTTTCCCTCTCTCCTCCTGCCTCTCCTTTTTTCCCTCTGGTAACCTGTATATTTTTGGCAGAATCTAAGTTATTTTTGCTGTGCTTTGTCAGTTTGTGTTCTTTGGTTATTTATATTCCATGAATGGAAACCATCCAGCTAGTATCTGCCTTTTAATTTCTGACTTATTTCACTTAACATAATCACCTCAAGATCCATCTGTTTTGTCCCAAAGGACACTGTTTCATCTTTTTAAATAACTGAATAGAATTCCATTGACTATATATTCCACAGTTTCTTTGTCTAGTCCATCATTGGAATAATGGGTTGGTTCTACACTTTGGCTATTATGAATGATGCTGCTATAAGCATAAGAGTACACAAATCTTTATGTTTTCATATTATTTTGGTAACTACCGAAATTATACAGTGATATTGTTGGAGCCTATACTATTTCCATTTTTGGTTTTTTAAGGTGTCTCCATCCTGTTTTCCATAGAAATTGCACCAAATTATGTTCCCACCAGTAGTGGATGAGTGCTCCTTTTTCTCTGCATACTTGCCAACATTTGTTGTTTCCATTCTTTTTGCATGTAGGTTATTCTCACAGGGGTAAAGGTGATATCTCATTGTATGAGAAATATGTATATTTATTTAGTATCACTTTAAAGTTGCTAAAATAGAGACAGAAAATAATGGTGTGTGTGTGTGTATATATATATATATATATATATATATATATAAAAGATTTATTTATTTATTTATACAAGCACTGGGTACAGTCAGAAGCTCAGGAGGGTGAGAAAATTCACCAGAGTCAGAGCGGGGAACAGAACAGGCAGACTGACGAAATACACTGCTGAGGGGAACAGGGGCTGTCGCGCCATGTGGGACCCTCGCCGGCGCCGGGGATCAAACTGGCACTGCAGAGGCTGCGGGCAGCTTTGCAGCCCAGTGCTCAACCGCTGCATCACCAGGGGAGGCCCAAATAATGGTATTTTTAATAACTTTAAAATGTGGATGTTACACATTTTAAAAAGATACATGTTATATAAATCTTATAGTTTCACACCTTTATGCTTAAATTTACATATTTTTAAAAACATGTTTTATTTCCAATTTTTCTTTGATTGTCTTATAGGAAATACCACAATCATTTTCTGCAACCACATTAAGTTACACACAGATGAATAATATAAAAAGTGATACACGGAGAAACAAAATTTCAAAAGAGGAACCTGGTAAGATTTCTGAACATAAAATCATCACTCAAGGAAGACAAGATGAAGAAGATGAGGCAATTAACTGTTTTGAGCGTTGTTTGAGTGCCCAGAGCAGGTCACTACATGAAGCTCAAGGATCTCATCCCGAGTCTAGTTCTAATCCCTCGAATCCTGAAACTTTGTATGCAGGGAGAACTGATTCAGTTCCACAAGGTTCTGAAGAAAACAAGGTCAAAAGAACATCCTGCATGTACGGTGCAAACTGCTACAGGTAAATGAAAATTGCAGGTAGGGTGTAATTCTTTTACTTTAACAGCATGCAGCCAGGTGAATATATGTTATAGAGTAGTATTAAAAGCCTAATAAAACCCATGAACCTACAGATTGGGAACTTTGTCATATTTCTACTGGGAACTTTGTCATATTTCCTTTCTTATTATGCATTCTAACAAGTCCTACTAGAGGTTTTTAAAATAGAGTCAGGAATTGGAATTGAATGTTTCATATGTAGACATGCTGACTAATGCAGCAAATTTAAATACTGGGGAATCTATACTTGACAATTGAATCACTCAGACCTAAATACCTGCATATTTAATGTCTTACTTAGGTATTAGAGAAATAGCTTCAGACTATTGTCCAGAGACCTCTTAGGTTCCAGTGCTCAAGATGCTTTTTAGGTTGAAATTATTTTCATAATGATGAGACTTTTTATTTGTGTGCCTTTTGTTTCTCATTTTCTCACAAGTATACAATAAGATTTTCCAGAGACTATGTGATTTGTGATATTGTTAACATTATTTGTGATAATGCAGAACCTGATGTGAGAATCTGGTTGCCCTGGTTAAAGTAGACATTGAAGAAATATCTCCATCAATTTGTTTTGGAAGATACAAGTTATTTATATTAACACTATTTAATAACATACATAAATATCTTATAATTTAAGAATAATATATTTTAAAATTTTCTGTTTTAAAATTCCTTTTAAAAAATATTTATTTATATATATTTTATATCTTTGTTCATTTTTGTACAATGTTTGTGTCCTTCTTTCAGGTGTAGTCCTCGTAAAATTCCCACCACCATTTCTCCTGTGCACCATAACCATAGTCACTTAGGCTCTTTCCTCCCCTATTTGATCCCCCTCCCACACCCTCCCCTGCAGAATGTCTCTGATTTATAATTGCTTGTTAGTTTAGGGTTTTTGTTTATTATTATTATTATTATTATTATTATTATTATTATTTTTCCTGATCCCTTATTTGGTTCCCCTGTATTCCTCCTATAAGTGAAACCATTTGATTTTTTTTTCCCTTCTGGCTTATTTCACTGAGCATAATCCCTTTTGGCTCCATCCATGTTGTTGTGTATGTCATGAGTTTATCTTTTTGATTACTGAATAGTATTCCACTGTGTGTATATACCACATCTTCTTGATCCAATCACCTATTTTTGGACATTTGGGTTGTTTCCATATCTTACCTGTTGTAAATAATGCTGCAATAAACATAGGGGTACAGATATCCTTTTGAATTAATGTTTTTGTGCTCTTTTGTTTTTAAATTTCTAATAGATTAAATAGCCACAAGAAGAAAAGCTTTCTGGGGTTTTATTAATTTTATCCTGAGACCAAAAAAGTTTGAGAAACATTGTTTCAGGTGATAGGATAGTGATTGCCCTTGGGTAGTAAAATAGGTTTGATTTGGAATGAGACGTGGGGGCTTCTGGAATGTTAATAATGTTCTGTTTCGTATCTTAGCTGAGGTTGCATAGATGTGTTCCCTTTATTAAAAGTCTCTGAAAGCTATAATATTTTATTTTTACATATATAAATCCTATTTAAAGTGCCATTTGCAAATTGTTCTTTGATATTCATGACCTACCACACATGCCACCAGAAATTCATTTTGTTACCATGAGAATTTTGTACTGACTGGATGTCATGAACTTTATTTTTGAGCAACATACACATTGGCTTATGTTCTGGATTAATCAAATGTATGTTGCTTGGTTTCCTGAATTATCCAATGAATTACTTTTTTCGAGTAGATTTGAGATGTAGAGTATCCTGTTAGTAATTTTTTTCTAACAGTATATTTGTCACCCTCCTAGGAAGAATCCTGTCCATTTTCAACATTTCAGTCACCCTGGTGATAGTGATTATGGAAGTATGCAAGTTACATGTCAAGATGAGGCTGATGACCAACCTGAATGTCCCTATGGAGCATCCTGTTACAGGTATATAAACCTGAAATATTTGGTTGTCTATCTTTTCTCCTTAACCTGTGTTACTTATGCAGGAGAAACTGCAAGTAGCTTCTCATTTCAAGCCTTTTTAACTTAAAGTTTTTAAACTTTCACACATAATATGTTTTCATTTTCTTATGGGTAGGACTATAGTATTCTTTTAGATAATTTTAACTTCTTGTAGTTGTAGACCTCATAAATGCCTGAAATTGTTCCTCATTGCTAACTTGCAAAGATGCAAATAAAATTATTTAAAAACTGCCAGTGCTACCTCATTACACTCTGCCAGACTCCTTAGTGGGACATGAAACAATTCAGAATGTTGTCTTTGCTTCACTCAATTCCTAGTACTCTACCATTCTCGCCAACACATGAAACTCAATTTTAAGAGAAAAGTAGAAGTGCATTATATCTTATCGCTATTTGTATCATGTAATATAGAATTTATCTTATGAGATTGTGTTTGTTTCTTTTCTGGATGACTTCTTCTCCAGATAGTAATGGCTTGTTGAACATACACAAACAAGTATTTGTGTATTTATTTGTCAATCTATATTTTTAGCATAAAACAACCTTTCACAACTCATGTCATAAGTCATAACTCATGATACGCCTTTTCATTTTTAAAAAACTTTTTACTTCCTTTCCTGCTTTTTTTTAAACTATGGTTGCCACATATTTTTACCTCTATACCTGTTAGCTTATAAGCCATTGTTTTTATTATTTTCTTAAATTTTAGACACTAGCTTTCTTTTATATTTACTAATATATTTCTCATTTGGGGTACCCTAATTTCTTTGTGAAGTTTTATCCTTTTTACTGGGATCATTTTCTTTTTGTTTTAGGAAATTCTTTTTGTATTACTTGTAGTAATTCTTCCAGCTTTTGTGAGTCTGAAAATGTCCTTATTTTTATTATTTATTTATTTATTTATTTATTTTATTTAAAGTTTTTTTTTTTTTAAAGATTTATTTATACAAGCACTGGGTACAATCAGAAGTGTGGAAGGGTGAGAGAATTCACCAGAGCCAGAGTGGGGAGCAGAACAGGCAGAAGGACCGAAGTACACTGCTGAGGGGAGCAGCGGAAGTGGCAGGAGAAGTTTGCATGCTATATGGGACCCTCGCTAGCGGTCAGGGATCGAACTGGTGCTGCAGAGGCTGCTGGCAGCTTCGCAGCCCAGTGCTCAACTGCTGCGCTACCAGGGAGGCCCCTTATTTTTATTTTTATTATTTTTTTTTTTATAAATTTTATTGTTATATTCCCCATACAATTGCAGCCCCCCATTCTGACCCCAGTCCCTCCCCTCCCGCCCCTGCCCCCCTAAAAGTGTCTCTGGTTCATAGTTTTTTGTTGATTTTGATTTTCACTTTCTTATAGTTATTCATTTTCCTGGTCTCTTATTTAAGTTTTCTAGATTCCTGCTATGAGTGAGACCATCCGGTATTTTTCTTTTTCTTTTTGGCTTATTTCGCTGAGCATGATCCCTTCCAGCGCCATCCATGTTGCTGCAAATTGCATGTGTTTATCTTTTTTGAATGCTGAGTAATATTCCATGGTATATATGTACCACATCTTCTTGATCCAGTCATCTATTTTTGGGCATTTGGGTTGTTTCCAAAGCTTAGCTATTGTAAACAGTGCTGCTATAAACATAGGGGTGCAGGTGTTCTTTGGAATTAATGTTTCTGTGTCCTTTGGGTAAATACCTAGGAGTGGAATTGCTGGATCATATGGAAGCTCTATGTTTAGTAGATCCAGAAATCTCCACACAGCTTTCCACAGTGGTTGGACACGTTTGCACTCCCACCAACAGTGCAGAAGAGTTCCTTTTTCTCCACACCCTCGCCAACATTTGTTGTTGCTAGTTTTTTTAATATGTGCCATTCTCACTGGTGTAAGATGGTATCTCATGGTAGTTTTGATTTGCATTTCCCTGATGACAAGTGATGTTGAACATTTTTTCATGTGCCTGTTGGCCATTTGCAATTCCTCTTCAGAGAAGTTTCTTTTTAGCTCTTCTGCCCATTTTTTGACTGGATTATTTTCTTTGTTGTTGTTGAGTCTCATCAGCTCTTTGCAGATTTTTGTGATCAGTCCTTTATCATTAGTGTTGGGTGCAAAAATGTTCTCCCAGTTGGTGGGGTTTCTCTTTGTTTTTGTTATTGTCTCTTTTGCTGTGCAGAAGCTCTTTAATTTGATGTAGTCCCAGCTGTTTATCTTCGCCTTCACTATCACTGCTTTGGGTGATGTGTCTGTAAAGATGTCTTTGATGTGCAAATCCCGTAGTGTTTCGCCTATATTTCCTTCTATGTATTTTATGGTTTCAGGTCTTATGTCTAGTTCTTTAATCCATTTTGAGTTGATTTTTGTGTATGGTGTGAGGTAGTGGTCAAGCTTCATTCTTTTGCATGTAGCGACCCAGTTTTCCCAGCACCATTTATTGAACAAACTTTCTTTGCTCCAATGCATAGTCTTTGCTCCTTTGTCAAAGATTAGTTGACCATAAATCTGTGGGTTTATTTCTGGATTTTCTATTCGATTCCATTGGTCTGTATGTCTGTTCTTGTTCCAATACCATGCAGTTTTGATGATTATGGCTTTGTAGTATAGTTTGAAGTCTGGGAGTGTGATGCCTCCATTCCCTTCTTTTTTTTTCAGGAGAGCTTTGGCTATTCGGGGTTTTTGGTGATTCCATATGAATTTCATCAATAATTGTTCTATTTCTTTGAAGAATGACATTGAAATTTTGATTGGAATAGCATTGAATCTGTATATTGCTTTTGGAAGGATGGCCATTTTAATAATGTTTATTCTTCCAATCCATGAGCAGGGGATATCTCTCCATTTCTTTGTGTCTTCTTCTATTTCTTTTAACAGTGTTTTATAGTTTTCTTTGTATAGGTCCTTTACCTCTTTTGTTAGATTTATTCCCAAATATTTGATTTTTTTTGTTTCAATAACGAAAGGGATGGTTTTTTTGATTTCTTCTTCTTCAGATTTATTGTTTGTGTATAGGAAGGCTACTGACTTTTGTGTGTTGATTTTGTATCCTGCCACTTTACTGAACTGATTGATGAGTTGAATTAGCTTTTCTGTGGAGTTTTTGGGGTTCTCTATGTATAATATCATATCGTCTGCAAATAGTGATAGTTTGACTTCTTCTTTTCCTATTTGGATTCCTTGGATGTCTTTCTCTTGTCTTATTGCCCTGGCTAGGACTTCCAGTATTATATTGAAAAGCAGTGGTGAGAGTGGACATCCTTGTCTTGTTCCAGATCTTAATGGAATTGCTTTCAGCTTTTCACCATTGACAATGATACTGGCTGTTGGCTTGTCATAGATGGCCTTTATGATGTTAAGGTATGTTCCTTGTATCCCAAGAATTTCAAGGGCTTTTATCATGAATGGGTGTTGCACTTTGTCAAAAGCTTTCTCAGCATCTATTGATATTATCATATGGTTTTTATATTTCTTTTTGTTGATGTGTTGGATAACGTTGATTGATTTTCGGATGTTAAACCATCCTTGTGCCCCTGGAATGAATCCAACTTGGTCGTGGTGAATTATCTTATGGATACATTGTTGGATTCTGATAGCTAAAATTTTATTGAGGATTTTTGCATCAGTGTTCATTAGGGAGATTGGCCTGTAGTTTTCCTTTTTTGTGTTGTCCTTGTTCGGTTTTGGTATTAGTGTAATGTTGGCTTCATAAAACGTGTTTGGTATTGTCCCTTCCTTCTCAATTTTTTGGAAGAGTTTGTGAAGGATAGGCACTAATTCGTCTCTGAATGTTTGGTAGAATTCATTTGTAAATCCATCAGGTCCTGGGCTTTTGTTTTTGGGGAGGTTTTTGATTACCATTTCAATTTCGCTAATTGTAATTGGTCTGTTTAGGTGTTCTATTTCTTCTTTATCTAGCTTTGGGTGATTGTAGAGTTGTAGGAATTTGTCCATCTCCTCTAGATTGTTAAACTTGTTTCCATATAACTGTTCATAGTAGTTACTGATTATTCTTTTGATTTCTGCTGTGTCCGTTGTGATTTCTCCTCTTTCATTGATGATCCTGTTTATTTGTGCTTTCTCCCTTTTTTCCTTTGTGAGCCTGGCTAGGGGTTTGTCTATTTTATTGATTTTTTCAAAGAACCAGCTCTTGGTTTCATTGATCTTTTGGATTGTTTTTTTAGTTTCAATTTCATTTATTTCTGCTTTGGTTTTTATTATTTCTTTTCTTCTACTGGTTTTGGGGTTTTTTTGTTGTTCTTTTTCTAGATCTTTGAGCTTCGAGATTAGGTTGTTTCTTTGAGTTCTTTCTTGTTTCTTGATGTGAGCTTCTATTGCTATATATTTTCCTCTTATTACTGCTTTTGCTGCATCCCATACATTTAGGATATTGGTGTCCTCCTTGTCGTTCAATTCAAAAAATTTTTTAATTTCTTCTTTCATCTCCTCATTAGTCCAGTGGTCTTCCAGTAGTGTGGTTTTTAATCTCCATGAGGTAGGAAAGTTCCTTGCCTTCTTTTTATGGTTTATTTCTAGTTTGATGCCTTCATGGTCAGAAAAGATGGTTGATATGATTTCAATCTTGGTGTATCTGTTGATGTTTGTCTTGTGCCCCAGTATGTGATCAATCCTGGAGAATGATCCGTGTGCACTTGAGAAAAATGTGTACTCCGTTTTTTTGGGGTTTAGTGTTCTATAGATGTCTGTTAAGCCCAATTGCTCTAGGTCCTTATTTAGAGCTTTGGTTTCTTTACTTATTTTTTGTCTTGTTGATCTATCCATTGTTGATAGTGGTGTGTTGAAGTCTCCCACTACGTATGTGTTTTCTCTGATGTCTGTTTTCAGAGAGGACAACAGTTGTCTGATATATTTTGGTGCTCCTTCGTTTGGTGAGTATATGTTAATGAGTGTTATTTCTTCTTGAAGTATTGTCCCCTTGATCATAATGTAGTGACCATTGGGGTCTCTTTTTATCTTTTTGAGTTTGA